GAGCATAATTACTTGGGTCTCTCTGATTGTTCTTCTGTTGGAAGCTCCACTCTCTCGCCCCTTGCTGAAGATGACAAAGCTACTATCAGCTTGAAGGCTACAGAGCTGACACTTGGTCTTCCTGGATCACAATCTCCTGCGAGAGACACAGAGCTTAACCTTTTGAGCCCAGCGAAGCTAGACGAGAAGCCATTTTTTCCTTTGCTTCCTTCTAAAGATGAGATATGCTCTTCCTCGCAAAAGAACAATGCATCAGGAAACAAAAGAGGATTTTCTGACACTATGGATCAGTTTGCTGAAGCTAAAAGTTCAGTGTATACTGAGAAAAACTGGATGTTCCCTGAAGCTGCAGCCACCCAGTCTTTAACAAAGAAGGATGTGCCACAAAACATACCGAAAGGACAGTCTAGCACTACAAACAATAGCTCTAGTCCACCTGCAGCCAAGTATGACTAGAAAATAGGAGTATTCATCCGATTTTGATATGGATTACTTTCAACAGCTAGCTAACTGGTGTTTTTTGGATTCTGGAATTTTCAGGGCACAAATTGTGGGTTGGCCTCCCGTGAGATCCTACAGGAAGAACACATTGGCCACTACTTGTAAGAACAGTGATGAAGTTGATGGGAGGCCAGGTTTTGGGGCCCTCTTCGTGAAGGTCAGTATGGATGGTGCTCCTTATCTGAGGAAAGTTGACCTGAGGAGCTACACTAACTACGGGGAGCTTTCTTCAGCCTTGGAGAAAATGTTCACCACTTTCACTCTTGGTGAGATGTTTCAGTGATTGCTAGTGATGTGTTGCAATCCTCTTTCTCTTTATGGATCAATGAAATATAGTGCAATCAAAGTTGTTAACCTGCACTGTTTGTTTGATGTTTAGGTCAATGTGGATCTAATGGAGCTGCTGGGAAGGATATGCTTAGTGAGACCAAGCTTAAGGATCTTTTGAATGGAAAAGACTATGTGCTCACTTATGAGGATAAGGATGGGGACTGGATGCTTGTTGGAGATGTTCCATGGGAGTAAGTTTCCTCTCTTATATTCAAAACTTGTTAGAAGCTTTCTCTACTCTCTGCCAGATATCTTAGATTAGAATCAAATCTAACCAACTATAGAAGATTAAATCATGGTGATTGGTATAAGCGCTCCTGAGTGATTTCTGATCCAATGTATATTACAGGATGTTTATTGATGTCTGCAAGAAGCTGAAGATAATGAAAGGATGTGATGCTATTGGGTTAGGTAAAGTCTTTTCTTCTCTCTGCTCCTAAGATACAACGTAAACTACTATCTCTAAAACCCATTGCAAGTAGCTTTATGATGAGATTAGTGGTTTGTTAGTGTGAGTTACTTGTAGCTGATTTAGAAAGTTATATTCATATTTGATCACTTGTCTTCTTTTGGGAGTAAAGACAATAAATTAACATGTAAATATAACGTAATTAAACAGACATAAATAATAGTCGTTATTAGGAGTTTGGTATGGACTTTGAATCTAAAATGTCTTAATGATTCAATGTGGTGAACTGGTGATATTGCAGCTGCAGCTCCGAGAGCAATGGAGAAATCGAAGATGAGAGCTTAAAAGATGGAACATGACAAAGCTTTCTAATTATACAAAATATGTGCGATCTTTTGGTGGTGTTTTTAAATTTCAAAACATCAATATCTTTTAAGTTTCTGAGATTTTAAAAAGAAGTAAGTAAGACTACGAATGGAAGGAAATGAAGAAGAATTAAAAATGATCTTATTTTTGTTGTTGTTTGTTGCTTTAGTCGAACCAGTAAACTGGTCGTTGTTTTATGTTTTGGGTTTGATTTGGATGTGTGGTTGACTTCTATCTTTGAGATATTATTTGATGTAATTCTCTTTTTCTTCCATTTTCTTCCCTTTGCTTCTTCTCGAGAAGAGATGGTAGACAATTCGATTATACGATTTGGCTTTGGCTTGGATTTGTTTGTTTGGTTTTTTCTTTCGGTTTGTAAAATCTAAACTCAAATAAAACCATTTAAATTTGCTTTGGATTTTAAAAAATTTCGTTTTATTTGGTTTGGTTTTTAGTCTAAAAAACTAACTTAAAAATATAATAAAACAATAAACAAAAAAAAAGACTTGATCAAACAGAGAAATTGACTTAATAAATATGCAATTATAATGGATTATGAGCTCTTATGTTATAGAAAAAATCCAAACCTGTTGCACAAATAAAACTTATCTATGGGACCATGTTGATTTTTTTTTTTTATTTTTTATTTTTTTTTTATTTTAGGGGACCATGTTATGTAGACCACAAGACCCAAAGCGATAGGGTACTGAATACCTCCTTTCCGTGAAGCTCGACACAACCACCGGATCGCCATCTCTCCCAGCGTTCTACTCCGGTGAGATCCTCCTCCATCTCCGATTATCATCTCCACCAATCTCCTCCGAGCTTCCTCTTGTTCCCGTGATGGAGAGAAGATGGTCAAAATCGAAATCAATTTTAGATTCCGACCACAGCCGTACGTTCTCCGACGGCCACCTCCGGCGAGAGCAACCACAACCCATCTCCTACTTCTCGGCGGCAATCAATTTTGGTGAATCAAAGATATCACCTTCATCTCTCATCTTCGCCTCTCGATATGAGACATTTATCACCTCCATCTTTGCATGCGTTCTACTTCCGTCTCCGGTGAATCGGACCTCCGCCGTCACCGTTCATCCAAGGTATCCTCTAATCTCCCTCTCGTCTCTTCTTGGGACACTTAGAGACTAGGATCCCTAAAAATTTCCAGAATTCTGAGAAACCTAAAAGTTTCCCCTTTTGAATCAAGCTCAGGAGATCGGCTCCGTTTCTCCCTCCGACGAGATTCACAGCTCAATTGATTCCGACAATCCTCAGGTAACCAATTGATTCTCACCAATTGCTCTTGCCTTAATCGATATCTAACTCCATCTGCTGCGTTAACAGTTGAATCACCACATACAAAGACCAAGTCGGGCTGCTTTGAGAAGAAAACAAAATTCCGGTAACATGAGATGATCGATTTCTCATTCTGCTTTTCAACTGTGACTCCACCTGAAACTGGTATCCCTCTCAACACAATTTCAGCATTTTTCAAAAAGTAATTACTTGCCTTGATTCACTATCTCCTGACTGACTGATTACTCCAATCTCATGACGTGTGATTTTCTTTAACACTTCTCGTCAGATACTCCCTTTTCCAGACTTTCCTCTGAAAGAGCTACTCCCTTAGCTCTATCTCCGTCACTGTTCACTCCGTGAATAGTAGACGTTTTTCCCAAATCTTCCATTTCAGCTTCATCGCTTGAGCTTTCTTTAACCAAACTGATTCCTGAAAAATCCCTTTTCTTTATGATACTTTCTGCTTTTTCCTTCAAGATCCCTTCTTCCTTCATCTCATTTTCACGCTTCACCCACTTCTTCTTGGCGTGATTTCTCAATGGTGGCTTGGCTTGTAATCAGAAATTCTTTTACTCTTTCCAGATTTCGCCTTCCTCCACCTTGGACTGGTGGTACTCTTGTCTTGAAGCCATATGGAGTAGGACCTTGAATTAATTTCTCACTGAAAGTCACTTTCTTTGACTTCTTCATTCTCACTCCATATTCAGCCTTAGCAATATTGTTTTCATCAGTTTCAGCCTCTGGTACACTCTTTTCAGCCTTAACAACTGTGCCTTGAAGATAGTAAAGCCCTTCGTGATATTTTCCACTTGTCACTTTCTTACCATCTTTGTAGAAATTCACCATGAACTCGCTGCCCTCATACGTACAACCCGACTTCTCTAACATTCCATAGGAGATCAGATTCCTACTCATATGTGGCATGTACCTCACATCTTTGAGTATTACCACAAAACCGTCTGGATTCTGTATCTGAATTTTTCCTATTCCTGTGACCTCACTATGACTGTTATTAGCCATGATAACCTTTCCTCCATTGAATTCCTTAAGATCACTCAAGATTTCCTTGTTTGGTGTGAGGTGGAATGAACGATACGAGTCCAAAATCCATTCTTTTCCTTGGTCTTGAGTGCTCGCAGTTAACACGAACGGTTGATGTGGTTCTGTTGCAACGTTTGCTGAGCTTGAAGGTTTGTTTGTGTTCTTCTCGGGACATTCTTTTTTCTAGTGCCCTTCTTTACCACAAATGACACAACCTATGTCAGTTTTCTTGTACCTAGGCCTAGACCTGCCTCTGCTTTTAGACCTTCCTCTCCCCTGATGGTTCTCACTGTTGAACTGATTATCTGATATGCCTTTTCTCTCAACATATAACCCTTATGCCTCTGATCTTGAAAGCTTTCCACTCTCCGTGAGTGTTTGGTATCGATGATTCTACTACTTGATTTAGGAGAAGAAACTTTCCTAGATGCAGTATATTCTAGAGACCTAATTGAATTTTATGTTGGCCCTTTTGTTTTGGTAGAAAGTGAAGTTTTCGTGAATTTTTTTTTGGTATCTAGGGTTTTATTTTGGTAAACTTTCCTCCAATTGTTTTTTCCGATAAACTTATCTCGACTTCTTCGTCTGATCTTGAGTGTTGACTTTCTTTTTAGCGTTCCATTTTCTTAGGTCGTTTTGCTCCAAATTTTGTGTTGTTAGTGTTTAGTATCCTTGATTTTGAGGTGATTCTACTATTAAACCATCGATGGGTTTTGGATGATTTAGGATAGACGGCGATCAATTAAGGCTCATATGTTCATGTTTTCATCAATCACATGCGTCGGACGATGCGTCGGACGTGCTCCACCACGCTGCTGCATTATAGCCCATTCCTAGGTAGGTAAAGCAAATGGAACAGGAGGCAAATCGCCATTGGTGTTCCTTTTCCTCGCCACCAAGACGTTGTACCTTCCTTAGCATGAAAAGTCTTGTAGCTAGGTTGAAATCTCGTTCGGTTAAAATAACAAATATGTTTGGTGGTAGTCTGCCTAGAAAAGGCTCATCCAACATTTTCTTCTATAAAAAGCGAATCTGCAACATTGAACGATTTCTCAAATTCATTCGATGTACCCTCTCTTAGATGTCCTACATTACGACATCCATCAACCGCGCATGGACATTTCTTACAGGAGCTTCAAGGAATCTGAATCCCAACGCTTGAATAATGGCATGCTCGGTTCGGTAACAAACACGTTTGTGTCTACTGTAAACCATCACTGGCTCGCAAACTGTATAATTCCCATCAACGAGCTGAAGATTACTCTGAATATTATCTAGAATGTGAACCACGAGAATGTTCGTAGAGTAATTGCAGTTTTCACTATCCTGAAATACACCAACAACATATTCTTCAAATTGAGTCATGATCATGATGTTGGTGTATTTTTGGATAGTGAAAACTGCAGCTTCTCTAAGAACATCTCGTGGTTCGCATTTTAGATAATATTCGGAGTAATCTTCGTCTGGTTGATGAAATTATATAGTTTGCGTGTCAGTGATGGTTTACAGTGGACACAAACGTGTTTATTACCGAACCGAGCATGTCAGTATTCAAACGTTGAGATTCAGATTCTTTGAAGCTCCTGTAAGAAGACGTCCATGCGTGGTCGATGGATGCCGTAATGTAACACATCCAGGAGAGGGTATACCTGATGAATTTGAGAGATCGTTCAATGTTGCAGATTCACTTCTTATGTAAGAAATGTTGGGTGAGGCTTTTCTAGGCAGACTATCACCAAACATACTTGTTATTTCAACCAAACAAGATTTCAGCCTAGCTACAAGAGCTCTACATGCTACAAGAATGGGATAGAATGCTGCTCCATTGGCAATTTTCCTCGCACTCCATTTATTTCAAACCAATGGCGATTTGCCTCGTTCATTTGCTTTAGCTACCTGGGAATGGGATAGAATGTTGCAGTGTGGTGGAGTACATCTGGCACATGTGATTGATAAAAACAGGAACATATGAGCCTCAATTGATCGCAAGATTATTCTTATGTTCATTTTTAGTGATGTTGCATGATTATTCTTATGTTCATCTTTATTGATGTTGATTACGTTGGTTGGTTTTTACAAACACAATTTTAATGTTTGGTTTTATTTAAGAGTCTTAGATTCTATCAGAAACTTAAGTTTTAATGGTCATAGATTAACTGAGCTTCCCTCCCCCAAATCTTCTCTGTAGTGATTTCGTTTTTTGAAACACTTAATCTCGCAATTTGCTAATCATTCTGTGACAATTTGCTCTTCTTGTTTTTGATGCAATTTGAACAAATGAGATTCTTTTCCGCCAATGGAAAGAATGAGAAATAACAATCAATATTTCATATTTATGTTCTTGAACTGAGCTGTGATAGAGACGCCTCAATCTGAATCTGGAAACTTCAACAATTAAGTTTCTGTCGAGAAATCTTGATGATCTTTTACAATTTTGCAACAGATAAACGTAGCGTACAACAAATGAAGGTAATATTTGGTTTATGTTCCAAGGCACATTACTTTTGTACAAGAAAGTAGATGTGAATTAATCGTAAAATTTTGACAGTCACATTTGAGCTTTCTGGTCTCATGCTTCCTGGAGAAGAAGCGCAACGGCTGAATCCATGGTCACTACATCAGGCTCGGAATCTTCGTTATATCGATCCACACTATTCAGAGTAATCCCTGCAGAGTCACAAAGGCAGCAAAATCTTTACTTCCGCAACTAGAAACTAAAATTTTGAATTCCCAGTTGTGGCTAAAACCAAACCTATTAACCAAAATTGCAGCAGCTGGAAAGAAAACGAATGTAAGAACAAGAGAAGTCACTCTCCATATGTGCGGGATAAATGAAAATACACTCAGAAGTCAGATACAACGATGGCTTAAACTAATCCTGATGAAAAAGTGCGTTTGATTGAAGCTTAATTGTTATTATGACACTGGACACTTTTTTGTGTGGTTACAACTGAGATACCAAACATGAAGAACTCCAAACTAGTGGTGAGGAAGGTACATCTCAAAAAGATGGATAGAGAGAGCGAGATAGTCGACATAGCCGCCATTGCAAGTGGTCTCAAACTTGGTTTGACACAATGGAGACTTATGAAATTCACAGGACCCTAAACACCGTGATATTTTAATCAAAAGAGGTGGATATGTAAAACATAACAGAATCAAGTACATGAGTGGTGAAAACCGAGATTACTTGTGATAAGAAGTTCACCAACATCAAAAAGGAGCTTAAAATGCATACGTACATACTCTTGAAACAGAAAGCAGCAAAGCAAAATAATGTTCCTATAAATGTTGAAACTGAAAGAAGCTGCAAATTACAGAAACAAAGAGCGATAATCAAATTACTTGTTTAACAAGATGAGCCACAAGTAGAAGTACTTTATGTTATGAATGGCACATTTCTATCCATGGGACATGTGGAGTTTGAAATTTCAGAATAATCGTTATCACCATCCAAATTTCGACTTTGAACTCTAACACCACAAAATACACTTCCAAAACGAATTAGTGGTAGAAAAATTTAAAATAATTAAAGGATATATCGGGTACACCAAATTCGGTTTTATTCCATATCCTAATTCCTAAGTAATGAGACCCTTCGGTTTATAAACAAATTTCGGTTTCATTTCGTCTAAGCTTTCCGGTTTGGTTTAGTTTAGTTTGTTTGGTTTTGTTTTCTCTGTAACAGATTCTTTTGTCCATTTCTACTTTATCTCTCATGCATCTTCTGTTTTTCTTGCATATGCATAGTTACGACACCATTTGTTTATTTTATTAACAAGTGAGTTGTGAAGTAAGTGATAATGTAAATTAAACCTGCATATTTTGTTTGTTTCATCAATTTTTTGAGTTTGTTTAAACTGCAAATTAAACGTGGTGGCTCTTCTTCTGCACATGCATATGCAAAACAATCTTAAATATAAATCAGTACTTAGATCTTTGAGGTGGATTGTTAAATTCTAACACATTTGAATGCGGAAGAGGTAAAACATATATACATATCTTAATCCGATTTAACAATAGAACTTCTCCATAATGTTTAAGGAAACAGACACATAGGCACAAACCAATCTTTAAACCAACTTGAATAATTCACCTGAAGAACCAAAAGCTACAAGACAAACGAAAGATGAATAAAGGTAATTTCGCCGGGAAAAGGTTTTGATATTAATCATTATTTCAGTTTTTAACCTTCCATGAAACTTTGTTTACCCTAGCAAGCATGGGTGCGTATAAACTCATCATAACTAAATACAATCTCCAAATGAAGATATCATAAATTTCAACCAATCAGTTTTAGATTTAGTGAATAACTATAGTTTAATGGTATCGAATAATATCGTCTCAGAAAAAGATAGTCAAAGATACATAAACATAAATTGCTATATATATATTAATAATAATCGCTCACTCAAGGAACGTTTATTATTTTCTGTTCCTGAAGGTGCAAGCATAGTGCGCCTCTTTGGCTTTGGCCATGGTGGTTTGCTTATTGTTTTATGAAAATTATTTTTGTTATATCATTTATTGCTCATTTTTAATAATTCATGTTAGCGTTGACAAAACAATATGATTAAACCCCACCTAAAATGAAATGTTATATTCAACTATCCAATTTTTCAAAGAGGCATTAATATAATTAATCAATTCCAAGGAATATATTCGATCAAGATAATTAAATACTCCTATACTCTCATAATTTAAGAGAACCTACGGGTCGAATTTAAATCACTCTTGTTACTTTAAACTTTAATCCAAATAATGTAGTATATATGTGTGATTCTAGTAGCTTCACGTGAACTTAATAGTATGCACATAAACAACAATCATTGGTTCGTGAATCTCATTTAATTCGTTTCGCTTTGATGCACTTATTTCGAATGGGACACACTATATATTCATATAAGTTGATAAACTATATAGTAATATTCAATGTTTTTAAAATTAAATATGAAATAGACTTAGGGAATGACATGTCGAATTTGTCTCCAAAAGATAGGAATTCAATTATGCTTCTCAATAATGGAACGTGGCAATACCTGTAACACTCATCTATATATATGGTTTGGTTCCCAAAATTATTTCTTCATCAAACGAAAAAATCCAAAAATATTTATAAGATCGTAAATGTGAATGATTTGATTATCTCAAATGTTACATTTAAGAATAGTATCTATAATCTTTAGTTAGCATTAGGTATTTAGGTCAATAATTCAACTGAGTTTACGAGTCGAATTGCCCGAGTGAACTGTTTGCATGCAGTTGGATTCGAATTCTAGGAAAATATATCAAAAGTTACGGTGTTACTCCCAAAAAAAAAGATTGCATATGTTTGATAGATGTTTATACGTCCAATTATGAGAATGAATGTGTGTTTCGATTTGGTAGACCTTCAACAACCCACCGAATTGATGGTATCCATAGATTTCTTATCAGTTATCAATCATAGGAGGTTTATGATCTATTTATATATGGACAAAATATATCGTATCGCATTATTATTGTTTAGTTAAGTTTTTTCTTTTTTCCCTTTTTACTTTGAAAGGTTTGATTAGCAATTTTGTCCGGACAGACCAAGTATATGTACTATATTTGTGATTGTGTAGGACATTCAAAGATCTTCGATCCATACAGTTTTCGAATTAATTGGTATAAAAGTTTTTCAAATGTTAAATCAAAACCAACTAAATTAGATTAACAAATATTTTCATTTGTGGTGGATAATCAATGATTCCATGACATGTATGCACGAAGTCATGTTGTCTCTACAATGGCAGCCACCTAAAACCTACCAAACAATTTGCAAATGCTTAATTACAATTTTGTTTAGCAGCCCCATTATCACATGTACCCATTTATTTTGGTAAATAAAAATGTTTTAATAAGTATTTTTTTTGTCATAGGATATAGGGAGGTTTTGCGCATATTAACAAAACACTTTCTTACATTGGTATCAATTATTTTGGCCACTTGGACCTTTTTAATAACATGAATACCCATCTTATCTTTATACATAGATCACATGATAGATTTATGTTTCGCAGGAGATCTCCATGTAAATCCGCAAATAAAATTACAAAAGCAAGATTCGAAGTCATTTTCTTTTCTGACGACATTCAAAATCATTTTATGTTTACGAAATAGGAAGATTATTAGTTATCGTAGTGTTACGAAATTATTACTCGTACTAGTCTACTTAACCCTTGTTGTTTCATTCTTTCATGTGGCTCCTCAGCATATATAATTCCAAAGTACTTAAGGCCACAAATTGCAGTAATCTATATTCTCGAGTTTATACCTTTGATTTAGCGCATAAATTATCTTGAGCAATTGATCAGCCAATGTAAAAGGTTGTCAAAGAAATATAATAGAACTGTCGAGATCAAAATCAGACAAAAACCATCATTTTTTGCAATGGCAAGAAGAATTCAAAATTTGCTGGACCTGGACCAGTCTAATCTTTATGTCATATCATTAGCTCTTGTCGTCACCGTATAATTATATAATTGGATCTTTCGAAATGTTGAAAATTTAAATTATTTTGTTGGTAAATAAAAGAAATATAACATATGCACTTCGACATTTCTCCATCAAAGACCATATATGTAACTTTCCTTACATAATTGATAATTCCAAACCCAAAAATTTAGGTTAAAATTCATCCAGCCAGAAATAAGCTAATACAACGTGTTTTATATCATTCCATATGTAAATTTGATTTGGATTCTATAGATATAGAAATAAGCTTACCGTTTATTGCTCAACCTGTAACGTCACGTGCCACATGTTTTACCTACACTCTATCACAATTTGCATTTCGAAGAATCCGATAAATTTGATATGATTTATATAATCGAACCACATTGTGGAACATTCAAGAGGAATCCACATTAGACAATCTAAATAGTTAAATAATTTGAAAAGAAAGATTTACATACAAATGGAAACAAAGATCTCCGCGTCTCAAGTTATTTGAAATCTCATTTTGCATATGGTCGGTTATTACCGTTGACTTTTTAACTTTATCGTCCATCCCAATGAAACACTCCCCTTCAAAATATATACGAAAAAAATAACAAATTGACCCAAAAAAAAAAAGGGACTTAAAACGGATCAGTGATTCAGTGATGATTTTCCTCGAGGCAAATAAAAATTACATGCAAATGGAAACAAAAGCCATTTCAGACGCATAAAGTCACAATTTTTACCTTATAATATTTGCTAAAATTAAAATAACATTAAAAAAGTCTTTATCGAAACATCACTAGAGAAGAAATCTCTCTCTAGTCTTTATCTTAGTATTTAATTTCTCCATCTTCCTTATGATCCATTATGCCCAAAGTCCTTCTTCTTCTCTATAATTACTTCGACAAATAGAAGAAGAAGAAGAAGAAGAACATAGACTCTCTTTTTTTTCTTATATCTTTCTCACAGGAAATGGTGTTTGGTTGGAGAAAAGCGTTTTGCACTTCTGTTTCAAGTAATCAAGATAAACCTCAACAACAATCATCATTACACACTACTGATCCTCCAATTCCCACCCCAAGATTCCGATCAAAGTTTGGTTTTTTATCCAACCCTTCTACTCCTCGTCTCCGATCTCGCGGCGGAAGCCGTGGTGGTGGCACTGGATGCCGCTCCTCCGCTTCCACATCAGTCACTATCCCATCTCTTCCAACTAGTCCCAAACTCCATTGCAGGACTACGAGCAATGCCACTCCAAGGACTAGTAACAGCTCAAGTCCCAAGTTTTTCTCTAACCCTTCTTCTCCTAAATCATCTTCTTCTTCTTCCTCTCAAGGCGGCGGCGGTGTCTCTCTCCTCCGTGCCACGCTTCTTCTCAACAAGGTAGTTACTTTTGATTTTTGAAGGTTCTTAATTTGTGCTTATAAACGGTTAATTAATCTAAAGCTCTGTTTTTTGTGTGTGTGTGTGTGGATGCAGAGTAATAGTAGCAGATGTGGGATTTGTTTGCAGAGAGTGAATTCAAATCAAAGCAATTTAACGACGACGGTTTTCACGGCGGAGTGTTCACATTCGTTTCACCTCTCTTGCGTCAATGGATTAGAAGACAAACGTTGTCCGTTTTGCTCCGCCGCATGGAATCACGCGCCAAAGTCGAATTATAACTTCGGATCCGACCCGAATAGACGACCCGAGATCCGAGAGATCAAAACGGGGAAGTCACTGAGAGTGTACAACGACGATGAGCCGTTAGCTTATTCGCCGGTTTCTCTTGCTCAGATCAATACTATACATGAATCCGACGAAAACGACGACGTTGAAGATGACGATGACTTCCCCGGATTCTTCCGAGATTCTTCGATAACGTCTGATCTGGTTCCTTCAATCTCCGGGAATCTGGAGGTTAAGTTGCTGCCGGAATCTGCCGTTGTGGAAACCGGGAAAAAGAAGGAGACACACGTCGTCGTGATGAAACTGAAAGCGTCTCCGTCGCCGTCGTCGATCACAGATGCGATTAAGGCGCGACGACCATCGATAGATCTGGTAACGGTTCTCGATTTAAGCAACGGCGGAGCTAATTTGCAAACGGTTAAGCACGCGATGAGATCGGTGATCTCTCTTCTCCGAGAGATGGATCGGTTATCTATTGTCGTTTTCTCGACGGGATCCAAACGGTTAATGCCGTTACGACGGATGACGGCGAAAGGAAGACGATCGGCGAGGCGGATGGTCGACGCGCTTGTCGGAATGGAAACCACCGGCGGAGTTGGAATGAGCGTTAACGACGCGTTGAAGAAAGCGGTTAAAGTCGTTGAAGATCGGCGGGAGAAGAATCCATCGGCGAGCATTTTCGTTTTATCGGACGGTCAGGATCAACCGGAGGCGGTTTTGAAAGCTAAACTAAACTCCACGCGCGTTCCTTTCGTCGTGTCCACCACGCGATTCTCTCGTCCGGAGATACCGGTTCATTCGGTTTACATAGCTTCTCCTGGAGCGTTGCTTCACGCGCCGCTACGAGACGCGTTCACCGAAAGAATCGCTTCGTTGCTTAACGTGACACTCCATGACGTGAAGCTAAATCTCGGTTTGGTCAACGGATCTCCTTTGACTGAGATTTCATCGGTTTACTCTTTAACCGGTCGACCCGAGAATTTTGGATCCGGTTCGGTTGTTGTGGTCGGAGATTTGTTTGCGGAGGAGGAGAGAGAGTTTCTCGTTGAGCTCAAAGTGCCGACTTCGTCGAGCGGGTCACACCAAGTCATGTCCGTACAGTCTTCGATCGTTGACCCAATGACACATCAGCCAATGACGTGTCCTAAAGAAAAACGATTTTTGATCCCACGGCCACAATCCGTCAGATATGTATCTTCAAGCATCGAACGGCTGAGAAATTTACACTCCATGTGCCGCGCTGTAGCGGATTCACGCCGGCTTATTGAGCGTGAAGATTTATCTGGAGCTTATCAGGTTCTAACGACGGCTCGGTCCAATGCGTCTCATTCGGATGATAGTTTAAGGAGTTTAGAGGTTGAGTTAACCGAACTTAGCCGGATTAAACCGAGAAATGGTTTAGTAAACCGAGCTGATGAGAAACCGGAGCAGCTTACACCGACTTCGGCTTGGAGAGCCGCCGAGAAATTAGCTAAAGTAGCTATCATGAGGAAGCATTTAAACCGGGTCAGCGATATGCACGGCTTGGAAAACGCCAGATTTTAAGTCTTTATTTTTTTCTTTTTCTAAAATTCGATTTCAATGATTTTTGAATATATAATGGTACATAATTTCATAAAAGGATAATCAATAATTTAGTAAGGTATAAATAATAGAAGTATGATTATTTAGAAAAAGACCCACATAGGTGCATGATAGCGACAAGCAGTAGCCGACGGGTGTGGCCTTTTGTATTGCAGAGAGATTGTGACCCTACTTGAGGGAATTAATTGGTCTTTTGGCTTTTATCTTCTTCTTCCTTTTTGTAATCTTCAAAAAATCCAAATTAATGACTGAAAAGTTAAAAAAGATTGTAGATAAAATAAATGAAGTCTGCTTTTTGTTGTACTATATAAAATTAAAAGTTGAGATATAATGGATTAGAGAGTGTGCTTGTAATGCTGGAGTTCAAGATCAAAAGTTAATTTATATTATCATGCCGTTTAAGTTAAGAGGATCAATTATATTTTATATTTTTTTTCATATGAATGATCATGATTGGTCATGTGATCATCATTATAGCCTATTTTGTTATAGAAGTGCACCGGGTTTGAATGATTTGAATAGTGCGTGGGCATTGTCTTTGTTGGTTGTTGGTGAATGGTTGGTGTGGATGCACCATGGTAGAAACCAGGTCATGCGCCGTTTCAAAGCTTCTTCTCACTTAAAGTCTTAAACTCATTCAATTTATATCATTAACTAAGTATGTAAAGCTAGCGCCAAGTTGCAATTTTTTTTGAATGCAATGATTCGTGTGCTTTTTAAATGAATGAAATGATCAACTATTGTCAAAGGTCCACTTCTCGATGTGATTCTAAAATGATCAGTGGCAGAAGAATCTCGAACTATATATGGTCAAATCATACTTAAATACTAATCTATTACATATTGCAACATGACAATGTTAATTTCAACTAAAATGAAAGGGAGAAACATTGATGCTTTTGAGTAAGGGAAAATTCCCAAAGAAAGCCCCAACTATTTAATATTTGCCAGAAAAAAATCTGAACTTTTTTCGTTGCCGGAAAAAAACCCAAACTAATTTACTGCTGACAAAAAAAACACGAACTATTTTTTGTTTCCAATTTACTCTCGTCTCCGTTACGGGCGTTAACGCCGTCAACGACGGCGTTACTAATTTTGGAAAAATTCCTTAAAAAAAACTAAGTTATTTAGTTTTGCCAGAAAAATACCTGAATTATTTTTTTGTTGCCAGAAAAATACACAGATCAACATTTTTCTCCTCTTCTTTTATTTCATTAATTAACAATGTAAGGTGGTTAGACCTCATAACTTTATGTGTTCTCTTGAACCTCATACAAGTTCTCACTACTATTAGATTAATCGATTTTTCAATTTTCCAATTAGAACAAAACTCATAATTACATTAGTTGATTCCCCAATTTACTGACTAGAACAAAGAACACAATTAGATTAGTCGTGTTTTTTAGAGGAGTTGGTTTGATTAAGCTAGCTTTAGCCTCAATTTTGGTGGATTTTGCTTGATTTGAGTTTTTTTTTTTTATCTAGAGAATTTTTGAAGATTTACTAAGGTTTTTGGGGCTCTTATGAAATTTAAAATTCCATTGTTGATGATGTTCCACAATTTGTAAAGTCTAAATAGATCCAAAAATAAATCTAATTGAGAAATTTGAAAATCGACTAATCTAATTGTATATTTTTGTTCTCAAATTTAATTGTCCTAAATAATAGTAAAAATTGAAAACTTGTATGAGATTGAAGAGAACACATAAAGTTATTAGCTCTCACCACCTTACATTGTTGATGGAAGACAAAAAGATAAGAAAAATGTTGATCTGTGTATTTTTCTGGCAACCAACAAATAATTCGGGTAGTTTTCTGGCAAAATTAAATAACTTGGGTTTTTTTCCATGAATTTTCCCAAAAATTAGTAACGCCGTCGTTGACGGCGTTAACGCCCGTAACGGAGACGAGAGTAAATTGGAAACAAAAAATAGTTCGTGTTTTTTTTGTCAGCAGTAAATTAGTTTGGGTTTTTTTCCGGCAACGAAAAAAGTTCAGGTTTTTTTCTGGCAAATATTAAATAGTTGGGGTTTTTTTTGGGAATTTTCCCTTTTGAGTAATTGAGGTAAAAAAATTTCTGCTGTATTTTGAAAATTAATTTATCTAATATCTTAATATGTAGATGTATAGATTCTTTATGTTTTGATAACCAACTTATCAAAGGGAACAGAGCAGATATACTCTGTTTTCTCAACAAAAGGAGATTTTGGTGTCTAACCAAAACGATGCCGGTTTACCTATTGAGTTAAAAGAGAAGATGGGCCAACACGAGAAGAAGCCTTTCGTTGTGTAAACCTTTCAGCTGAAATTTTCCTACCATATACGTGTAAGCCCATTGAGATTTCAAAGATAATGTAAGCCAATTAATATATGGCTTTTCGCAAAATAAAGCATTTTATTTTTACCTTTCGCGACTGGGCCATAAACAAGATAAAAAATAGTCTTAGGCCCAAATAGTGCAATATATATGGCCACGCATTCTAAAACGTTATACTGTACTATGTTCTAAAATAAAAATATGATTTATTAATCACCGAATTTATCATACATAATGTAATGGGTTATTGGGTTATTTAAGAGAGATTTAATAATTTTGAAAAAGTTTCGTCAACTCGGAAAAGGTGGACGAGTTAATTTAAAAGTCCAGGTATTGCGGCATAGAGAGATAAGCCCATCTGACGTGGTTGTGATGTGCTAAAAGCTGTCAACATTGAAAATCAACGGTCCAGATCAGTATACTGACACTTGGCTTTGTAAATGTGTTAATTTTTTCTGGTCAAAAGTAAAAGTGTTTATTATAATTAAATTTTATCCAATTTTCAAGTAACTTCCATTTAATACAGCCCACGTTGGATTATCTTTCAAGTTTAAAACTATTCTAACATTGTTTCATTGATGACTTTGTGCCTTGCAATACATCAACGTATAGTATACATACTTACATCAAATACAAAGTATATGTCATCCATACAAAATAATACATTATCGTGATAACCAATCAAACTCCGTTAATCCATTTGTTTTTCGTTGGCGGTGGACTATTTTTTAAGAAAATATCTATTTTAAATTTAAATTTTCTTACAGTTATATAATGATGTTGAAAGTCTTTAATCTAGTTTCTCTTTAACTAACCCAGTCAATAAAGAAACAATTTGTTTGTATGACAAAAACAATATATAAAACCTAAGTCAAACAACTGTTCGCAAATTTGATTAGGAAAAAAACGTGCTTTCAAAAATATGTTCTACGCTGTACGATAAGATTTTGGAAAACGACACATGGTTTCTTATTATACACTTGAAATCCAACCATATTTTAAAACTATTACCAGATTGTATTAGTTGAATGTTATTGGAATCGTTTCCTAATTGCAAACGTGAAGACATGAATACACATATTCTCTCATCCATCGGTGATCGGATAACAACATGTATTATACAAAGTGATCCACACCCATGTGCAATTTCCTAATTAGTATGCTTAATAAGATTTGCAAATGTATCTAAATCAACGTAATGTCTAGTCATCTAATTATCATAGTGGATTTAATATTTTATCTAGAAAATATTACCTACATTGCTATATGAGTTACTCTACGTGGTAGTCACTATTTAATTATAGGCAAACACACGATTAGGGAGGCTAATTAAAACGAGTAATTTACTGAGTCAAAAGGAAGCCTATATAATCGGCTTATTCTCCATCTTCTTCTCATCACCACCATTAGTCTCTCCTTCAGACAATTTTGGTTTTTGTTTTTTTTGTATTTATATATTCTTAATCTTCCACAAAAACAAAAGAAGAAAGACGACATTTCAGTACTAACATTGTTCTTCAATCATACCTCTCTTTAAATCTAAGTGTATATATTTATTTATACGTGTGTTTGTGTTAATTGTGTAGTTTGATCTTAATCCCAAGTTAGTGGAAATGGCGGGAAAGGGAAACGAAAATACCGGTGGAGACTTCAGTTTCTCGGCTGCTGCGGCGCGTGATGCGCTTCCGAGGATCACGACAGAGAAGGGCGGCAAATCTACAGACGTGTGCCACGACGACACCGCACCGCGGGTCAACTTTCAGACCATCGACGAGCTTCACAGTCTCCAGAAGAAACGATCTGCCCCGACCACTCCTCTTAGAGATGGCAGTGCCAGCGGAGTCAGCGGAACTAGTGGTCCGACCACTCCTGTCTCCAGCGAGACCATGCTTCAATCCGTCAGGTAGATACAATTATACATTTGTTATTAATATAGCTCAAGGTCCAATATTATTTTTAACATATGGGGAATGTAAAAATCTATGTTTACTAATTTTACAAATTACAAAATTATAAGGAATCGTGATTTAAGCAAAAGACCTTTGATTTGATATATGATTAAACATGTGAAATCGCGTAATGACATATATATAGTGGCTTCTAATTTCTTTTTTTTTGGTAAGAAGTGGCTTCTAATTTCTAATAACCGTATGATTGAATTTTGTTTAGTTTTATATGTTTTACCAATCGTAGCAAAAAAAAAAAGGGTTGAATTCTGAGAAAACAATGATACGAATGTATAATTTGGTGAAAATATTGGACAGTGCATCGTTGGCTTCGTTGACGAGAGAGACGGGACCGAAGTTAATAAGAGGAGATCCAACGTCGGCAGCGAAAGTGGCACACGTGCCAGTGACTCCTACGTCACTTCCGACTGCTGACGTCAGCGACAGTGGCTTGAAGTTCACTCACATCCTTCACAACCTCTCTCCCGCCGGTAACACCCCCTAAAACGTCACCGTTTTAAATCAAGGGCCTAATTTGATTTTGTGTACATGTTTTGTCATCACCTTTCGAATTTTATATGATTGCAGAGTTGTACGAGCAGGCGATAAAGTATGAGAAAGGATCGTTTGTGACATCGACCGGTGCGTTGGCTACATTGTCCGGAGCCAAAACCGGTCGGTCTCCTAAAGACAAGCGTGTGGTTAAGGATGAGACCACTGAGGCCGAGCTCTGGTGGGGGAAGTGAGTCACTTTCTATCTACACATTTACATACATATATATGTGACATGTCAACAAATGAAAATAACCGAATTATATATGAAAACACATTCATCAAATGTGATATCCATTTAGTATTTGTTTTTCTATTTTTTAAATTCTTAAAAATAATTTATATTTTTGTTACAGAGGATCACCAAACATTGAAATGGATGAGCAAACTTTTTTGGTGAACCGAGAGAGAGCTGTTGATTACTTAAACTCCTTGGACAAGGTAACTTGACATAGACAATATTCAAAATGAGATTGTAGTGGAATTTTATAGACTATACTTTTTATAATTTATATCGTCAGGTGTTTGTGAATGATCAATACCTAAACTGGGATCCAGAGAACAGAATCAAAGTGAGAATTGTTTCAGCAAGAGCTTACCACTCACTATTCATGCACAACATGTGTATCCGTCCAACACCTGAGGAGTTAGAGAATTTCGGGACACCCGATTTCACGATTTATAACGCGGGGAAATTCCCGTGTAACCGTTTCACTCATTACATGACATCGTCGACGAGTGTGGACATAAACCTAGGAAGAAGAGAGATGGTGATTCTAGGTACACAATATGCTGGAGAAATGAAGAAAGGACTATTTGGTGTGATGCATTATTTGATGCCTAAGAGAAAGATTTTGTCACTTCACTCTGGTTGTAACATGGGAAAAGATGGAGATGTTGCTCTCTTTTTCGGACTTTCTGGAACCGGAAAGACTACATTGTCGACTGATCATAACCGATATTTGATCGGAGATGATGAACATTGTTGGAGTGAGACTGGAGTTTCGAATATCGAAGGTGGTTGTTACGCGAAATGCATTGATTTGGCAAGAGAGAAAGAGCCTGATATCTGGAACGCTATCAAGTTTGGAACCGGTAATTTAATACAAAACTCTTTTTTACAAATATTTTTTCGAAAATAGATTTTACATTTTCGTAACATTTTTTGTTTTGGTTTTGGGGACAGTTTTGGAGAATGTTGTGTTTGATGAGCATACACGAGAAGTGGATTACACAGACAAATCGGTGACGGAGAACACACGTGCAGCTTATCCGATTGAGTACATTCCGAACTCGAAGATACCGTGCGTTGGACCACACCCGAAGAACGTGATCCTGTTGGCTTGTGATGCCTTTGGTGTGTTGCCGCCAATCAGCAAGCTCAATCTTGCTCAAACTATGTATCATTTCATCAGTGGCTACACTGCTCTCGTAAGTCCCGATTTGGTTTGTTTTGGTTCAGTTTGGTTCTTTTGTCATCGACTCGTAATGAATAATGTGGTTTTGCAGGTTGCAGGAACAGAGGAAGGAGTTAAGGAGCCTCGAGCGACATTCTCAGCTTGTTTTGGTGCTGCTTTCATTATGCTTCACCCAACCAAGTACGCTGCTATGTTGGCTGAGAAAATGCAGGCTCAAGGAGCCACCGGTTGGCTTGTTAACACCGGATGGTCTGGTGGAAGGTAAACCATCTTCTGAATCTTAATCATAACCACAAAACAAAACAGAAAAAGATTGAGGTTTTTAACAAGATTGGTGATAAAATTTGCAGCTATGGATCTGGAAGCCGAATCAAGTTGGCGTATACACGAAAGATTATCGATGCAATACATTCGGGTAGTCTCTTGAATGCAACTTACCGAAAAACAGATATTTTTGGTTTGGAGATTCCAAATGAAGTTGAAGGAGTTCCTTCAGAAATACTGGAACCTATTAATGCCGTAAGTTAGAGAAACATTTACTAAATAGAATAATCCATTTAAAAAAAAAAACTTGACATGTTTGGTTTATGTGTGTTTTGGTGCAGTGGGAAGACAAAATGGCTTATGAGGACACATTGTTGAAATTGGCTGGTTTGTTTAAAAGCAATTTTGAGACATTCACAAGTCATAAGATTGGTGATGATGGAAAATTGACTGAAGAGATTCTTGCAGCTGGTCCTAACTTCTGAGTGATTGAAGATGATGATGAAAAACAAACATTTTTTCGAACCAAAATAAGACTACTATTTTTTCTTTCTTCTTCTTCCCAATTTCCCCATTTTTAAATGAGAAACTTCAGTAAGAACGGTAATCTAAAATAAAATGAATAATGTCAAAAAAAACACCAATTTGTTTGGTGTCACTTTGATGTATCTGTCCTATTATTTACAATTGAAATGAGAACAATTCTTTTTATTTCTTTCTTCCATGAATGTTGAAGTATGGAGATATTTGAACTTGTTAGCTAGTCAAAGCATTTAACTATTAACAAAAACAGAGAGAAAGTTTCCACCAATCAACATACAAGACCTCTATTAAATCAGAAAAGACTGAAGGAAAAAAGAGGAAAAATTTATTTCCAAAAAATTAGGTTTATGTACACAAAAGGAACTGAGATAATCTAAGGAAAAGAAAATGAATCAAATGAATTGTTGTTGTTCAATTAAACAATGGAAGGACTAAGAATTATTTGGTCGTGTAGAAGAAAAAATGATTGTCTTCAAAAATTAGACGAGAGTAGAGTTCTCTGCTTTGCTTTCCAATTTCTCTTCTTCGACCTCATCATCTTCACTTACTTCATTAGACCGATCCACACTATTCATAAATATACCTACAAACAAACAAATTTACTAAGCTATACAGAAAGATTATGAGATGAATGAAAAAATAAAAATATTGAGTCCTTACCAATTCCCCATATAATAGCTGCGACGAAGAGGATTGAAGTAATGATAAGAGTTGATGTTCTCCAATTTTTGAGATGATCCTGCAAAAACATTGAGATAGTTAATAGAAATCTAATCCTAAAAAGTAAAACTAATTTGTTTTTATGTCATTAATGATAATACAAACCTGCATTTTCCCGTAAAGTGGAGAAGAAGGAACATCGCCTAAGATATGGATCAAAACAGTTGAAGAAGCCATTGATAATGGTCTCAAGTTTGGTCTAACGCAATGGAGACACACAAAGTTAACTGGAGCCTGCACAAGAAAGCACAATGTCATTCGGATTAAACAAGTCGAAAAAAAGAAACGGGGATTAAATTTTTCTCAAAACTCTTGAGATTTGATTATATTACCTGTGGTGCAAAGATTAGAATTTCTCCCACTGCGAATAAACCGATGAAGGCATACATATTCTTCATCAAGAAAGCAGTGAAACAAAAGGCTGCGCCGAGTAAAGTTGATGCAGCTAGTAACTGTATAAGATCAATTAAGAGGTAATCAGAAAAAAGGGAGCATTCATTGGTAAGTAAAAAATGTTTAGTGAATTCTTTATTACCTTGAAGGTGTTTGAAAGAGTGGCGTTTATGCGATCAAGCACATAGCTTCCACCTAATGTTCCGATTATTCCGCAGATGATTGTAAGTCCTCCAAAAATCATGTCTGCATTTTTCATTTTGTAGATACCAAAACCGGCTTTTGGTCCCCAATATGAGTAAGCTCCAATCACAAAGTTGTAGGTGATGTAACCAAGAACATTTACGATAAATACTTTCTCGCTGAAAAGAGCCTTTAAGTCTTTTCCGAATAGGACAACCAGGTTCTTGGATCTGCACAAAAAAGTAGAATATTAGTATATATAGTTGTCTTTTGCATAGACAGGAACAATGAAGAGAGGATAGCGAAACTCACTTGGGGGCTTTGGTTTTAATTTGTGAAGCTTCTGCATCTGTAGGAGCGACCGTTTCACTAGATGTAGAGGGTTTCTTCGAATCTTTATCAGCAAAACCTATACACAAAGAAGAGGAACATTTTAGTCAAAAATTGGCACAACTTCCAGAACGGAATATGCAATGAAGATTAAAAAGCATCTAGTATCACCTTTAAGCTGCTGCGGTGGTTTGATACAGAAGGACAAAACGACGAAGACAGCCATTGCGATTGCCTCTATGTAAAACGCCCAACGCCATCCTAAATGGTTTCCAATCTGAACAGGAAAAGCAAATAAAATATAAACAAATATTTCCTCAGAAGCAGGAAAACTTGTACCCATAAAAAGAGTCTAGCATAAACTTACGAATCCACCAAACACATAGCCTAGAGCAACTCCTGCTGGTATACACATGTAGAACAGTCCAAGCCAGAAATTTTTCTGGAAAGAAAGACAAAAAAACAATTAGTTGAGCGAGTAAACTAGCGAAAAACCGTAACAGTTTCAGTAACCTAATTGAAAACTAACCCTTGCAACAGGAGCACTATCATCGATATATGGTGCTGCAAGACTAATAAAGGAAGCCTCACCAACCCCAACAAACCTATAGGCAAGTTATAAAAGAAGAGACTGTTAGTTATTATACAGAAACCGGATTGAAAAAAGGCAAACACATGGAATTGTAAATAAATTACTCACATTCGAAAAACAGCAATCATCCAGAAGTTGTAGGAAAACCCGCAACCAAGAGCAGCGATAGTCCAAACGGTTAATCCAACACCTATTAGCTTAAAAGGATTGATTCTGCAAGCAATTATATAAAGACAGAGATAATCAAAACAATGAATCTTAAGAATACACCAAAAAACAAAAGAACACAAATTCATGATTCTGTTAATAAAAATTAAACCTTTTGGACAATCCAGCGAATATTGGAGAAGCCACAAGAAGTCCAACCATAAACGCAGACGACAAAAGACCATCTTCAAAGTTAGTTAAGTTAAACTCTCCCCTGCATCAACAAACACACAAAGTCTAAGTCTTTCTCATAAAAACTCAAAACATAATCATTCTAAATATCAGAATTCAGAACAAAAAAAACTTACTGAATTCCAGTTCCTGCAGAGCAAACCCCTTTGGCATCGCATGTTTTTGAGCTTCCATTAACACCATTACTCGCGATCACTCCTCGATCAACGTAATTTATCAAGTTAATGATACACAGGATTGTAACGAATCTACAAAATAAAAAGCCCTCAAGAGTTAGAATCAAAACCCACAAAGCTAGGGCAAATCAGTTTTGTCTTTAGCTACTTATCTAAACATGACACAACCCTAAAAGTTTTCATATCACGAAATCTTTGCCTTACTTTTTGGAAATCTAAATTCACCCAATTCTTAGATTTTGTTTTCTCACACAACCACGCTTAAATCGTTTTCACAAACCAGAGAGAGAGAGAGAGATCACAATCGTCATCAACTTCAAAAACCCACCAAAGAAATAAACAAAAGTGCTGATTTTTTTTACCTTCCCGGAGTCAAAAATCGTTTTTTAGTCGCCGGCGGCGTCGTCGTCGAAGGTTCTTCTTTAGCCGGAGAATCTCTCTGGCCAACTTTCGTCATTATCTCTTTCGCTGTCAGATTCAATTTCAACACTCTGTCTTTCTTTACTAAAAAGGAACAAATTTTTTTATATATACAGAGAGAGAGAGCTCTGAATCCGATTCCTGTTTTGATTTGGGTATATTCTCTTACTTATGCAACGAACGTCGAACTGTTATTTAGATTTATCCGAATTTTAATTAAAACAAAAATCAAAACAATATCTTCTTCTAGTTCGGTTTCTTATTTTCCTTTTTTAATCAACAGAAATATGGGAAAAAGATGTACAATAATCTTTCCTTTGACCAAAAACAAAAAAAAAAAGGTGTAATTTCCTTTTTTCTTAACAACATAAAATCTATTTTTAATTAATTCAGGAGTCCAAATTGTTAGTTGGAAAATCAAACAATTATACAACTAATCTCACTAAACACATGGACACAATAGTTTTTTTTTATTTATTAATTTGTGTGAAAATATCATAAATAATCATCCTGTTCATCATCATTGTACTTTCTCATAGGTTCTTAATGGAAGTATATGCAGAGACGTGAAGGTCACAACAAAAGTCTTTCTCCATTGAGTTGTCCACTCCAAAGGGAGCAAAAAACAACTTGTCCCTAGATTTTAAGAGAAGAGAGTTCAATTATTGTACCGTGATTGATGTATTGAGATAACTTGAAGTGTCAGTAACTTACTTGTGGATAGCTAAAGTTGGTTCGAGACCAGGGATTGAGCTATGTGAGGATGACATTATTACGACTTTGTTGGAGTAGACCACACCACCCTAAGTAAAAGAAACGTGAGAACAAGAATGTAACTTGGAGATAATGAGTCTTCTGTATTTTTGCCTTCCAGTTACCTTCAAAATGTTAACAAAATGTGGATTAATGTTATCTTGTAAGCGATCAAGACGGTGAAGCTCAGCTGGATCGAGCCCACATAGCTCCAATTTTTCAGGAGGTACAAGACCCTAATAAGCACAAGCAGCTGTTAATCAATTTTGCCAATGTAGAGTGTATAAGTATAAAGGGAAAAGCAAAGTGGCTTGCCTTGTCAAAGTCTTGGCATGTCAAGAGTATTCTAGTACCTTCAAGTCCCTACAAAATTCGCAAAGAGATGGCAATAAGAAAACTACGGCATGATGGATAACGAATGCTGAAAGTTTGAAGAGTTTCTTACCTGATTAACAAAAACATCCCAAAACAATGGTCCAACTATTGCAGTTTGCCAGTTGTGAATGTGTAAAACATCAGGCTGCTTTCCAGATTTTGCAATGTAATCCAATGAAGCACGAGAGAAGTAGGCAAATCTGATTTTGTTAACAGATACCAAAAAAAAAAACGTTACATATAAATAATACCAGTCTAAAAACATGTAGATTCAAGCTCAACTATATCAAATGGAAGTACTGACCTATCAAAATCGTCCTGATAGCCGTATACTTTATCACGGCTAAACATTGACGAGTAATACACTGGTTGAATAAGTGTCACTCCTATTCCAGAGACAACTCTGCATAAACAAGGTTCTGCTTATTATAAATTAAGAAAGAAAATGGAATGCTTCACAGTATTTTGCTGATTCTTCTCTTACCAACACTGATAGAAATCAACTGTATAAGAAGAATAACTTCCAACAACTCACTCACTCACCCATTCCATATTCGGTTTGCATGCAGCTGACCATTGAAATAAGAATATGCATCAGCTTCGATTTCCCGAAGCCCTTCAATTTCATCCAAATCAAGTGTCGAATATCTATGAATACGGTTTTCATTAATAGGATTCTGCTTCACAACTGAAGTTGGTGATAATATAAAGTATATATTTTTCTAAAGGATTTGCCTCCTACTTTGGCAATATAACTTCAACCATGTAGCCCTCTCCTTGGAGTGCAGAAGACAATCCTGTTATATATGAAGCCAAAGGCCCAACAGAAACTAATGGAGCCATTTCGGTGCAAATATGAATCACATGGAGACCATTCCTGGAATCAAATGACAGGTACAAGTCAAAACATCAATTCAAAAATCCGAATTAAGCTTGAAGATAAAGAACACTAGAATTTTCACCTTTTGCCTTTATTTGTGAACCGTCTGAGTTCTGCTAGAATTTCAGCATCTCCTTGTTGCAGGACATCGAGAGGAAACTCAGAGATGTTTGCTTCATGCTCCTTATACAGTTGTCTCATGGATGAAGCTTCTTCACTGTTGATTAATCCATTGATCACCATAGAATCAATACGGAGAAGCAACTGCCAGAATAGTGACGACTTATCTGCTTATAACATGGTAAAAGATCAGATTCAGGATTCAAAAGACTAGTATCACAATACTCACTTGAACATCTTTCAATCATCAAAACTAGAGACTAGCCGAAAAATGAAACCTTTCTTAATTACAATCTGACTTTCTGCCTCCAATTGGTTAATCCTCTCTAGTAATTCATCTTTCTCATTCTTTAGCTTCTCTAACTCCTCAACTGCAGCTAGGCGTTGCTTGTTTAAAATAAGGATATCTAAACAACAAAGACGATACAATACAATCGGGTGAGTAACTTTCAGAACATGAAACTGAAACCAATGGCGACCAAATATTTTTACTTTTTTGAGCTTCTCTAAAGAGGTTCCATATGTCCTTATGTTTTGCTTCTTTTGTAATAGAAGATAGTCCAAGATTTCCTGTGAACTAAACCAGTTACCTTCTGCTAGAAAATTCGGCGAAGATAAAGCATACTTCAAACCAAAGAAGAGTTACCTGAGACTGAGACTTATCAAACTCTTCATGCCCTTCTGATCTGGAATCCAAAAAGAATCCAGTTCAATTAGAGGGAATCAAAATCAATTTTTGCAGCACAAATTTCTACACAAAGCCAGAAAAATTGAAAAAGGTTCACTCTAGATAAGCAATGACTTCATGTAAAATTCTACTACATCCATATTACTATCAACCTGAAGAGACGAAACTCGAAATCAACCTCAAACAGTGAAGCGCGTGAGACTTTCGATGCTTAGGGTTCACTGTATGGACTTTAGAGGATGACCCGCACAGCGATAGGTTCCATATCGCCGGAAGATTCGCCGTTGCTTGCATCGTTTGGCAAAGTTCGAATCGTCGCCGCCAAAATTCAGCCAAATTTGCCGGGAACGACAAAATAGAAAACAGCCGGTAATAATAATGGACCTTTAATAAATAGAAACTCGAAAAAGCCCCAGAAATTATTAGCATTCAACCCATATACTATCATTACTTTCAAATCTCACCCTAAAACTTCTAAAAAGACATATATAAGCCACCGAAATTATATGGAAACGCGGAAGTAACCCCTATATTATTTTTATTTCGAAATATACCCCAATATTGTTGTTACTTTCAAAACTCACCCCAAAATTTTGTAGTATACTAAACCAGCAAAACAGAACCCTTTCCAAAAACCCAACGTCGCCGACCCAATCCTCATAACATCACGATTTGAATTCCGAGCAAAAGATCAAACCTTTTTTCGGATACTCATGGCAGAGGAAGTTAAAGGTGGATGCTTTATACCTTACATTCACTCCCAAACCCTAAATTTCCACTCCCATGCCGTCTCCTCCGTCAAATTCTCCTCCGACGGCCGTCTCTTAGCCTCCGCCTCCGCAGATAAGACAATCCGCACTTACGCAATCGACATTGCTCAAGAAGCTTCCATCGCCAAACCGGTTCGCGAATTTCCCGGCCACGACAACGGCGTATCGGATATAGCCTTCTCCTCCGACGCGAGGTTCATCGTCTCAGCTTCCGATGACAAAACCCTTAAGCTATGGGACGTTGAAACTGGTTCTCTGATCAAAACGCTAATCGGACACTCTAATTACGTGTTTTGTGCTAACTTCAATCCTCAACCCAACATGATTGTGTCTGGTTCTTTCGATGAGACTGTTCGGATTTGGGATGTTAAATCTGGCAAATGCTTGAAAGTTCTTCCTGCGCATTCTGATCCTGTGACTTGTGTTGATTTCAATCGTGACGGGTCTCTGATTGTTTCAAGTAGCTACGATGGGTTGTGTCGGATTTGGGATTCTGGAACTGGGCATTGTGTGAAGACCTTAATTGACGATGAGAATCCTCCTGTTTCCTTCGTTAAGTTCTCTCCCAATGGCAAATTCATCCTCATTGGCACACTCGACAATAAGCTGGTGAGTGAGTCTCAAAGACTTGACCTTTACAATGTTAAGTTAATTTCGATTCGAGGTTGCTTGTTGTCGAATTCATAGGTAGGAGAATTGAATCAAAACGATATAAGGAAGGCATTGTGTTTCTGATCTAGGAATTTACTCTTGACATAGGAAATTTTGTTAGCTTTTGATGGAGTTAATGAATAGTAGAACCATCAATCGTCTCTCTAGTTTCATTTGGGTCGATAGTGTTGTGTTATAGTTTTGCTTAACTTAAGATGTTATTTGAGATGGATTGAAGCTCAGATTGTTAGAAATTGTGTTTGTTGCTTTCTTTTTATTTCGTCGTATGCCATTGTCAATCTCTAAATTTGTATGATCATTCGCTAATCTTTGCGGTATTCAATATACAGAGGTTGTGGAACATTTCTACAGCTAAATTCATCAAGACATACACCGGACACACAAACTCCCAGTACTGCATTTCCTCTGCATTCTCTTTCTCGAACGGGAAGCGGATCATTAGCGGATCCGAAGACAACTGTGTTTACATGTGGGAGTTAAATTCCAAGAAAATGCTTCAGAAACTAGAAGGTCACACCGAAACCGTCACGACAGTGACATCCCACCCAACCGACAACGTGATTGCATCAGGCTCACTCGACAAATCAATAAGGATTTGGACACAGAAGAAAGAATAAACAACAACAGTAAAACTCTCTTTTAGAACCCATCCTACAGAGAGAGGTACATTCATCAGTGATCCAATGCAGTATCATCCTGTTCTTGCTAATGTAGTTCTGTTTTGATTGATTCTATCTTTCATCAGTTGTTTAGTGATGTAGAAAGTGTGATACAGTTGTAAAAGAGACACAAACTCGATACATTGCAAATGGAAAATGACTTGCGAGAGGTAATAATACAGAAAATCAACTGGACTTATTTGATTATCTGCGAGAAACTTGGTATATGCCTTTCACGGAATCTCGAAGGTTCCCGTACCCAAAGGTGAGATAATTTCTTTTACACTCTTTTCTCTTGTTATTGTTTTTATTTTCACAAGTCGTTGATATATACTTACTATTTCCAGGAAATAAACATGCGAGAGTTAGCACCATGACAATGCATATTCATCACTACTGGACACAGTTCAATCGTACTCGTCCATCAAATTTGTTTTATTCTCTCAGAAAACCTAGACGAGCAGGTCGCAAGTGTTGTTGAAGCTTTGAATAAGAAAGATTTTTTCAATGTTGTATTTGTAGATTCTAGGACCCTACTAGTTGATTGTCGTGGTTCCCCTTTCCAGAGAACTCCAGAAGAGTATATAACCTGTCCCTACTGCGGAACTCCCTAAAGAACAACCCCAGCCGCAGTGTCCGCCGTGCAGTTGCTGATGATCAGCAAGGCAACCA